ATTCGTAGATGCATAGAGAATAAAGCAAGAAGAGATCATTTGCTCATCAAGTCTGACCTGTATATCACAAACCATTACATTTCACCCAGTTACACCTGTATCGAGGCCAATAACTTGTTTGGCTAAAGTATATCTTCTGGAAAGCCATCCAATCTTGATTTGAAGACCTTAAGAGATGGAGAATCCATCACTTTCCTTGTTAGTTTGTGCCAATGATTTATCACTCTCACCATTAAAAGTTTCTAATGATAATTTATGTGACTTTAGCTTCCAACTATTGGTTCTTGTTCTGCCTTTCTCTGCTCGGTTAAAGAGCCCTTTAGTATCTCATATTTTCTCCCCAAGAAGGGGAGGAAGAAAAAGGAAGTGGGACATAGGCTCCTATGTCATGTAAGTGTTTTTGAAAATGTTGTCCCAAGAAATCAGGGTGTACCCCAACATGCTACAATGTGTCCGGCTTTTCAGGTATTTGCCATATTTTTGGTAACTTATGACATGACCTTGAGTGCTCCCAAAATTCACTAGGAGAAGTCTATCTGTTCAAAATATATTAGTACCAGTAGGCAGCACCATCTCCAATGGAATGGGATAAGTGCTTAGGTCAGTCAATCTCTTTTTGTATTCTGGTGTAATCCATGCTGACCAGATAAGATGGAATACGTTTCCTCAGCCTGGCAGGCCTTTTGGGGCTGTTATGAAAACAGTTCAAACCGAACATAAGAACAGCTATACTGGGTCAGACCAAAGGTTCATCAAGCCCAGTATCCTGTCCTCTGACAGTGGCCAATGGCAGGTGCCCCCCAAAGGGAATGAACAGACAGATTATCATCAAGTGATCCATGCCCTGTCACCCACTCCCAGCTTCTGGCAAACAGAGGCTAGGGACATCATTCCTGCCCATCCTGGCTAATAGCCATTGATGGACCTATCTTCCATGAATCTATCTAGCTCCCTTTTGAACCCCGTTATAGTATTGGCCTTCACAACACCCTCTGGCAAGGAGTTCCAGAGGTTGACAGTGCATTGCGTGAAAAAATACTTTCTTGTGTTTGTTTTAAACCTGCTACTTATTAATTTCATTTGGTGGCCCCTTGTTCTTGTATTATGAGAAGGAGTAAATAACACTGTCTCTATACCACTCATGATTTTATAGACCTCTATCATATCCACCCTTAGTCGCCTCTTTTCCAAGCTGAAAAGTCCCAGTGTTATTAATCTCTCCTCATATGGCAGCTCTTCCATACCTCTAATCATTTTTGTTGCCCTTTTCTGATCCTTTTCCAATTCCAATATATCTTTTTTGAGATGGGGCGACCACATCTGCACGCAGTATTCATGGTATGAGCGTGCCATGGATTTATATAGAGGCAATATGATATTTTGTGTCTTATTATCTATCCCCTTCTTGATGATTCCCAACATTCTGTTCGCTTTTTTGACTGCCGCTGCACATTGAGTGGATGATTTCAGAAAACTATCCACAGTGACTCCAAGATCTCTTTCTTGAGTGGTAACAGCTAATTTAGACCCCATCATTTTATATGTATAGTTAGGATTATGTTTTCCAATGTGCATTACTTTGCATTTAGAAACATTACGTTTCATCTGCCATTTTGTTGCCCAATCATCCAGTTTTGTGAGATCCTTTTGTAGCTCTTCACAGTCTGCCTGGGACTTAACTATCTTGAGTAGTTTTATATCATCTGCAAATTTTGCCACCTCACTGTTTACTCCTTTTTCCAGATCATTTATAAATATGTTAAATAGGACTGGGCCCAGAACAGATCCCTGCGGGACACCACTATTTACCTCTCTCCATTCTGAATACTGACCATTTATTCCAGGGTTTCTCAAACAGGAGTCGCCGCTTGTGTAGGGAAAGCCCCTGGCGGGCCGGTGTGAGCCCCGTCCGCAGGTCCGGCCGATCGCGGCTCCCACTGGCTGCGGATCACTGCTCCGGGCCAATGGGAGCTGCTGGAAGCGGCAGCCAGTAAGTCCTTCAGCCCACGATGCTTCCGGCAGCTCCCATTGGCCTGGAGCAGCGATCCGCGGCCAGTGGGAGCCGCGCTCGGCCGGACCTGCGCACGGGGCTCACACTGGCCCGCCTGGGGCTTTCCCTACACAAGCGGCGACCCCTGTTTGAGAAACCCTGATTTATTCCTACCCTTTGTTTCCTATCTTTTAACCAGTTATCAATCCATGAGAGAACCTTCCCTCTTATCCCATGACTGCTTATTTTGCTTAAGAGCCTTTGGTGAGGGACCTTGGCAAAGGCTTTCTGAAAATCTAAATACACTATATCCACTGGATCTCCTTTGTCCACATGCTTGTTGACCCCCTCAAAGAATTCTAGTAGATTGGTGAGGCATGATTTCCCTTTACAAAACCCATGTTGACTATTTCCCAACAAATTATGTTCATCTCTGTGTCTAACAATTTTGTTCTTTACGATCGTTTCAACCAATTTGCCCAGTACTGAAGTGAGGCTTACTGGCCTGTAGTTGCCAGGGTCACACGTCTAATAATAATTGGGTGTATATAGTAGATGATCTTTATATTGTGAGAAACTTTAAAGCCTGTATCCCACTTGCAACAGGAACCCATCCCTTACCTGCCATGTAGTTTTCTGTTTACTTGCCAGATTTGCTAATTGTTAGGGTAGTTTTGTTGCAATAAAATCTCTCTCCCTCGTCGCCCATCTGCTGTTAGTTGATCCTGCAGGGAAGTCATAAATCTAGACACATCATATCCGTGTCCATGGCAACTGACTGATGTGACAAACACGGGATTGTGATGTCACAAATACAGGATCACTGGAGGGTCAAACAGAAAGAGAGGATCAGTAGTGAGGAAGAAGTCCCTTGGACCCAAATGCCTGAATTATAATGATAACGGGGGAGTCAGAAAATGACTGTTTGCTGCAGTGTGGAATTCCAGTTCTAACATCGTCTGACATGGACTGTTCTGTTACCATGCTGGTGGCTGCAGATGACGTGCCTCCCCTCCTGCTGCCACCCTGTCTGCCATCAGTGAAGCGTGCACTGGTGGTAGCAATGGGGGTGAACATTAGGGGAGAAAAGGCGAGGGTGAGTGTTAGGTAAGCAGTGCATCATTTTTATTCCCAGAGGTGAAAATAATTATCCCCATTCCCCAGGTGGAGCAACTGAGTGACGTGAAGCACAAAGGGATGAAATGTTTTACCCAGGGCCCCAGAGAGAGACCTTGTCAGAGCTTGTGATTAAAACTAGAGAGCCTGGCTCCCTGCCCTGTGCTCCAGTCCCTCTGCCTCTCAACTCTAACTACCATGTTAGAATGCTGGAGCCAGCTGATTAGTTGTCAGGGATGTCAACCCTATTCCCAGCAAATGTGTGTCTCATTCTGTATCATTTTTACATCTAATTGCATTTCCTAACCACAGTGAAATACACCAGGCCAAGCGTTTCAAGGGAATTACTGCCCTCGTCAGCCTGGTGCCCTGGTAACACCACCTGCTATGTGCTGCGATCACCCATGGAATGCCCTCCATGTTCTGCTTGCTTTCATCTGACTCGCCCTGGGGAGTGGGTGGCTGTGTACTGGGTCAGGGTTCAGGATCACTTGCTTAGATTAGTTGCCTCCTGGTGAAATAATCCTATTCTGTTTGATCACCGACGTTTTCTGCATGGAACTTTCTCTCTCGGCACATGAAGCTGCTTGCCGCCGAACCTGGCTTAGAAAAATAATCACTTTCCACTGCCAGTTTCTCAGCTATTCAGACTAATAACTCCTCACCACTGCTGTCCCCTCTCTCTGCCAGCCAGGGAAAGCAGCCTTGCTAGCTGGAAAGCTTGGCGTGGAATTTGCTAATTGTGACACTGAGCATTGGACTGGAACTCTAGGGGCAGCTTTATAAAGCATCAGTTGGGTGCCTTTAAAACTCTGGCTCCCTAGTTAGTGTCTGTAGAAGTATTTATCCCATTAAATGTTCAGTGAAGTGTAATGTCATGAATTCCTACACAGACCTGTCCCGTGCTCCCCACCCGCAGAGCACTCGCAGCTGACCTCTCCTCCATTGCCCGTTCTGCTCTAGACTTCAGCATTCACTGTCATATAAATCGCGGGAGTTGAAGGTACAAAGTGTCGAAGTGAGGACGGCCTTCTACCAGCGCGTGCTTATGAGATGCACAGTCAAGCCCTTTGTGTAACCACAAACAGCACCTACAACCTCGGGCTGTGCCACTATGAACCAAGGCCACCACTGAATGAGCTTGCCAGTGCCTTGGGGTTAGAGAGTTCTGCAGCAAAGCTGCCGTGTTTCTCTCCGTGGGTTAGCCAAGAAGGACGTTTAGTGAACTGGATCGTTAGGATCCTGCTGTCTGCAGTTTTTGGAGGCACTTGGGCACTGGACCAGAGGCAGTTGTTCCTGACACTGTCCGATTTCCCGGCTTTGAAAACTGAAACCTGTAGAATAATAATGTGTTTTGAACTCTGCTTTTCCCCTTTGGTGTTTTATACGCAGCATATTGATGCAAATAAAACAGAGATAATCCCTGGCAGTTCTTACATCTCTGTGCCTTTGCCTCCCTGTCAAGTCCGGGTGGTAAGAAGCCGAGAGCAGCTGTAACAATCATCGTGCTCTTTTTTTTCGTGTGTATGCTTGTTTCCCCCCTTTTTTTTTAAACTACAGCTTCATTACTGAGCTACGAAGCTGTGCTGACGTTTGGTCTGACCTCAGAGAGTGACTGGAAGGGACCTGCTCCAATATGGAGACATGTTCGCTTTTCTAGGCATTTCCTACAGTGCCTCCTTCAGTGAATGACTGAATAACATAGGAGAAGGTTTTGCAAGCATGTGTGTGATGTGTGTTTGCATCACCTCGTGTGATCGCCGTCTCCGTAGAGGGTAGCCTCCTGTTCTGTGGCTGCACAGTGCCACCCGGCAGAGCTCAGCTGCAGAAGAGCAGTCCCTCTCTTCCATGTACCACCCAACTCTCTCTCATTCCCCCTTGTTTCCTTTCCCAGGATCTGTGGGGACCCCGCTGCCAGGGGTGGAAGTGCGCATTGCCACGGAGCGCTTGAGCAGGGAAGGTCCTTCCTACATCATCCACGCTCAAGGAGATGAACGTGACACAAAGGTAGCATGCAGCCATGTTGTCTGCTTCTGTCTCTTGTCTCTGTGACAATCTGCTAGGGTTCCCAGAGCTGAGTCGCTGCGTTACCTCTCCCAGCCTCAGCAAGTGGGAGCCTCGCTGATGCTAAGCTGGGTGTATCAGCTCCCTGACACACCAGCTTGTCACCTTGCCATCAAACTGCTAGGACTCCATCAGTCCAAATCTTGCCTTGCAGTAATTAGTGAACCCCAATTCCCGAGTCCCTCAGAGTCGTGTATCTGCGGTGCTCAGTCCCTCTCACTGTAGCCCTCGCAAAACCCTAGCAAGTTTGCCACTCCTTTAAAGGGCGAGAACACAGCAGCCTAGTAAGGTAACTGGGATGGGCAAACCCTCCACTTCAATCAAAGCTGGGGTTGGTTTATAGTAAAGTAAGTTTCTGAATAAGAGGGCGTAGGTTTGAGTGATATCAGGTGTAAGGAATAAAGATAGAAATAGTTACAAACAAACACAAGTAAGGAAATGCTTCTAGGATTTCAGTCTAAATTAACTAGTGTCCTTAGACTAGAGTCCTTTGTTCAAAGAAGTTTGTCTCTCCGGTCTTTCTTCCAGCATGGCTGACCCGTGTTTTAGCCAGGACTCTTCACAGAGCTCGGAGTGCTTGGGTCCTTTGTCTCCTCAGGTGAAGGGTAACTTAGAGGTTCTCTCCCCCAAGATCTGGTTCCTTTTCCTTGCTGGGTGTAGGCTCCATATTAGCTCCTCCCCCACTGATGATTTTTACAATGCACTGATCTCTTCCTGCAACCTCCGATTCCAATGAATAGCCCATTGAATTTGGACACACCTGGTTTGAGGTGCTGGCCTCTTTCCTTGTCTGGAAATACCCTGTTTATCAACTCGCCCTGACCTGCCTGGTGTAAACACGTTTTAGTTACGTGTTTCCAGCACATCTGTAAAATTCTGTGTGGATTAACCGTGCATAAATCATGCAAGAATATTAATGATCAGTGAGTTATTAGTTTTCCAGTGATCTATTACATGCCTCTTTGGGGTAAAGATTATGACAACAGTGTGACACTGGTATTGGGTTGCTCTTTGGGTCCTGCTCTCAGTGAAAATTATGAAAACACTTCTCCCCTTCCCCAGAGA